GCTATTTTGGAGCTACCTAGTGCTAGATTTAGCAAGTGTGCACCACACCTAACTCACTAGACTCACCTAGGTCAAGCTACCCGTCCATACCCCCCTTAATAGTATGGCCAAAGGAAAAACAAAGTCCTAAACTACTCTAAGTGTCTCCTCAACTCCAATCGACACTTAGAACTAGTCCATACTTAACCTTGTCGTCCATCCTTTGAAAACCAAAATGATTTCCATCGTAGGGGCATGACCACCATGATTTCCCAATCGATCTCCATTACCATGACCTAACTTAATTGCCTCTGCAAAACACACGTTAGTCATAGTAATCACGTATTGTCATTAATCACCGAAACCCAACTAGGGGCCTAGATGCTTTTAGTACTCTATTGAGAATATGAATGATGGTTTTTAACGCCTCCATCCATAGGCTTAATGGTGAGGTGGAGTAACTTATCATACTACGCACCATGTCCATCAGGGTACGATTGCGTCTTTCAGCTACTCTATTCTATTGAGGTTCGCTAGGTATAGAATACGGGGCTACTATGCCATTTTCCTGTAAGAACCTTACAAAAGGTCCAGGAACTTGGCCATATGGGGTATGCCGACCGTAGTACTCCCCCCCACGGTCGGACCTGACTATCCTAATCTTTAAATTATGTTGGTTTTCAACTTCTGCCTTAAATATCTTAAATTTATCCAATGCTTCTGTTCTTTCTTTGATTGGATAAATGAAGCCATAACGGGAGTAATCTATGAATGTTATGAATGAATCACAACCATCCACACTCTTTACAGGAAACGGACCACATATGTCTGTGTGAATAATCTGTAAAATTCCAGCGCTTCGTTTGGCATCTTTCTGATTTTCTTTACATACTTTCCTTTTATGCATTCTCTGCATTGTTCTAAATCTGAGAACTCTAATGGAGGAAGAATATCATTCTTAACTAGTATTTCATTTTTCCCCCTCGAAATATGGCCTAAACGATAGTGTCATATTTCGACGACGCATCGTGAGCTCTCTTTCATTTTCTGTTTACATCCGCAGACGAGGATACATTCTCATTATCGCATGCAACGTTTCCATCATCGCATACAACATTCACTTCATCACGTAGTGATAACATATAGCATGTTCTCTCTTATGCCACCATTTTCATAGTACCTCTCTGTCACCAGCTGCTTTATCAGCTGGTTAGCATATATCTTTGAAGAGCCAGTAAACTGACTCTTTATTCTATCAAGGTACTCGGTGACTATGTCACACTCTGGGATTGAGCCCACAATTGCTGGCTCAATCGTGTTCTTTATCACAGCCAAACATTTCTTGTTGTCAGTGACCCACTTTCTATGCTCAAGGTCATAGGACATCTTTTGGGATTCAAAATCCCTCTCTTTAGTTGCCCAAGCGGCATCAGTCTCATTTGTCTCCCTCACCGATGCCACAGGCTCAGTGGGACACGGTGAGGTGACTACCCAGTCCACCTCAGCCAAGATGAAGGCTAGTCAATCTTTTTCTTAACATAAAAAATAACAACAATTGCATGCCTTGATTCTAACGTTGGTCAAAATTAAAACATACAACTATTCTTATAAACTAATTCTACATCACCGTTGGGCAGAAATAGAATTAATGCATAAAATCATTAAAATTTATAACTGTTCTTATACACTAATTCTACATCACCGTTGGGCAGAAATAGAATTAATGCATAAAATCATTAAAATTACGATATTGTTATTAACAACGTTGGTCAGAAAATAACAACATCATAATCATGTCAAAATCTCTTTTTCTCCAATTAAATATCACGTTGGTTCAAAATAACTGGAGAATAAATAATTTCTTTAGCAGCGGAAAACTAATTCAATTTAATGAATTTTGCTCACAGGAAAAAACTCATTTCTATTTTCTTTGAGCCATTTATCTATTTTCCAGGAAATAAAACTTTTACTGCAAAAGGAAAAGAAAAAACTGACTCATTTATTTCACTGTTTTCGGCCCAACCGGCAAAGCGGCCCACGGCCACGCGCGCGCTCTCCCTCGCGCTCCCCCGCACCCAGGCCGCAACCTAGGCCTGGGCCGGGAAAGTGACCTCGCGCCCTTGCCCGCCTGGGCCGAAAGGCGGCTCGGCCGTTCGTAGCCGCTCGATCAAGATCGACGACTCAGCTTCTTTTTCGCGCGAACAAAACCGCCGCTGTGGCCGTCTCAGCCGAAACCCTATCTCATTTTCTCCGTTCCTTTCTCTTTCCTCCTCAGCGCCGCAGAGAGAAGGAGCAACGCAGCAACCATGGCGGCCGAAGGAAATGGCGGCGCCGCCGCGCGCCCCTTCGTCGATGCGTGCGTCCACCCGAGGGTGAGCGCACCGCCGTCGAAGGGCTGCGCTGCGGTGCCCTTGACACCCGAGGCCCGAGGCGTAGGCCACATGGTGGTGTGACCTCCCGGCCGAGTGGTTCTTCCCACGCGACATCTGAGCAACACCGGCGGTGGTGACCACGGTAGGTGAGCTCCAGGTAGGCCCCCATGTCATCCGTCCTTGCTTCTCTCTCCAGGGTTGGGTCTTAGGGAACCCACTGTTCATCCAAATCCGAACCCACTATTCATCTTCTTTCTAAAATTGTTCTTCTTTTCTACCCCAACACGCGATCTATGAGTACCCACCCCTCTCGGCCTAGATCTTGCTTCTGGATTTTCTTCTCTGTTCTTTGTCGATTGGGAATTAGGGTTAGGGTTCACTGTTGTTCTTCCCCGAGACTGATTCGCGGGTAAGGGTTCGGCTTTGAGATCCTTTCCAAAAACCGACACCCTTTCTCTTCTCTGTGTTTCACCCGATTAGGGTTAGCTACCGACGGTCGTCGGTCTAGCTTCGGCGAGCCACCTCCCATGCCCTTTCCCTTCTTCTTTTTCCTTTCACCCAGTTAGGGTTAGGGTTAGAAAAACCCTCTTTCTTCTCAGATCCAAACGGGGTCAGTTCTTTTCTTGTCGCGCGCCGGCGAAGACGGCGGTGAGGCACCTTTCCCCGTGCGGTGGCGGTGATGACCGGCAGTCAGTGACGCCCGCCACCCTCCCGATCTCTTTTCTATTTTCTTTTACCCGGTTAAGGTTAGGGTACGGATTGAACCCTTGTTCTTTCTTTGATTTCTTTTCTATGCTTTACCCCATACTAGATCTACACACTGGCAACCTTAGCTCTGATATCATTGTTAGGAAGTTCTAAACTCTAGGTGTAGATCTAGCGGGCAAAGAACAAACATCTGTTGGTGTACCTTGGTAGCTAGTGCGCCCGCAACGACCGGAGATGAAGTGCAGTCGCAGTCCCTATGGCGACGTGAGGCATAGCGTCCCGGTGGTGGCACTGCAGAGGCGACGGCGAAGTCCGTAGGGCTTCCTGTCGCTGGTAGCACCATTCTTTAGATCGGATTAGTGTTTCTGTGTAGTTGGTTACGGTGGCTCAGGTCAACCTCGTAATTCAAGCCCTGATCCCCACCTCTCCTTTTATAGTGATGTGCGACAAGGGCCCACCAACCATATTAGGGTTGGGCACCCTCGATCAGGGCGCAGATCCAAGGGCCCAATAGGTCGTTGGGCCTATTGGTGGAGATCAACTAACACGTAACATACCATAGATGCGATGTTTGATTCGGTTCCCGATCTGATTCCGGCTCCGACTCCGACGACCAACATGGCGGCGGCGGCGGCACTGTTCCCGCGAGGCAACGTCCTGGGGCCTGACGACGACGGCCGACCCGGTCGGTCGTGTGCCGCTACTGGGCGGCTCGAGTTATTTACGACGGAGCCGTCTGTGGCTACGGTGGCCGCCCTGGATCCAAAGGACGAGGAGCGTTCCTCGGCTGCAAGGCCGCCGCGTCCATCTCCCAAATGAGGAACGCTTCTCCGACTTGCGCCCGCGTCCCTCCAGCCACGTCGCGCTGGCCTCTAAGAGGAAGGAACGAGCGCGCGGATCGTGGCTACCACCTTCGGAGGGAGCCGAGAGGCGCACAGGGATGGAATCCAGCCTTGATTGCACGCCGAGCATGGATGGAGAGACGGAGCTGGGGAGGGAGAGACAGGTCGTGCCGCGCCGTGCGGGAGAGACGGAGGGGAGGGAGAGCAGAGTGGGTGAGGGCGAGTGGGCTTTTCCAGAGAAGCGAGGGAGAGGGCCGTGGAACGAGTGGGATAGTTGGGCTGAGGAATGGGCCAGACGAAAAACGGCCCAGACCATAAAAAAAAGCTAAAATTTTATCTTTTTATTAATAGGTATAGATATACTCGGTGCTTCCGCGCCGATCAATTCAGCTTAAGTTGATCTAGTCTATAGTAAATAGTTTTATCATTCAGGTCTCCAAATAAATTTATTGTTATAATTTATTCTATAACTAATCTAATAATATTTATTTTGTATCACCAACATTTGTACTTTTATATAAAATTTAGTCAAAGTTCAAAACGGATAATTACATTAGGATGGAGGGAGTATACGGAAAAACTGGTAAAGACGCTCTTAAGCTTATGGCCCACTATGGGGTGATTGGTTGCTTTGATGATAGGGAGCCAGGATGGAGAACCGGTCTAGGATGGTGAGATGCATGCTCAAATCGTGAACCCAGTCATGTTTAGTTGTCTTTGTTGTTGGTTAATACGAGATAAGATCTTGTTTAATTACATGTATGAATGAGAGTTTTGAGTGTATGATACATAGACCTCTGTATCATGGGTGCATCGCGTCGTTCTACGTCGTAAGAAAAGTAGGAATCGAGAAGAAGGATCTGTGCGGAGTGGAGGGGCGAAGATGAATAAAACGGAACAGACAAAAAAAAATACGAGACAGACATCAAACACAGCCAAGTGCACCGAACAGTGCTGGGATACGGCTCAGAATGGCCTCGTGCGTGCAACCAATCACCGCCTAAATTTCCCACTGGATGCCCAAAGCCCCAAACCAGCAACGAGGCATTGCCCACCACCATCACCCACTCTGATTCCGGCCCAGGTGCGCCATCGCCGCATGGCTCCGGCGGCCGGCGCCCCCGTCGTCGCGCTGGGCGACGACCTCCTCCGCGAGGTCTTCATCCGCCTTCCGGCCTCCGTCGACCTCCTCCGCGCAGCCGCCGCCTGCAAGCCCTTCCTCCGCGCTGCCCGCAGCGCGCCCTTCCTCCGCCGCTTCCGCCGCCGCCACCCCTCTTCCTGCCCGCGCCTCCTCGGCTGCCTCATCCTCTTCTCCAACCGCCGCGGCGGCAAATCCCACTTCGTACCCATCTCTGCTTCCTCCTTGTCATCGTCGTCTGCGGCAGCGGCCGCCGACGGTGGCGACTTCGCCCTCTCCTTCCTTCCCGGCGGCGGTTGTCTGGGCCAGGGCGCAGACACGTGGAAGCACCTGGACTGTCGCAACGGCCGCCTTCTCCTGGAGAACCTGGGGTCCCATGAACTCGCCATCGCGGATCCGATCTCGCGCCGCTGCGTCTCCCTCCCCGCGCCTCCCGCCGGGCGCGCCGTCGGGTACGGCCTCTTCGCCGACGACGGCGATTCGTCGGAGTTCCGGGTGGTTTGCGTTTCGCGGGACGCCGCCTCGCCCGAGCTGCGTGCGCTGGTCCTGGCCTCCGGCGAGCTCTCCTGGACCGACGTCGCCGGCATCGCGTGCCAGCCCGATCTAGCCGCCGGCTCCCGGGTGATGCAGGCGAACCGGTCGCTGTACTGGAGGCTCGAGGGCGGGGAGCGCATGGTGGCGTTCAGCACGGCGTCCATGGAGCTCTCGGTTTTGGACCTCCCGCCTGGCCTTTGGGAGCTCCCCTTCGTCGCCGTCGACAGGGGTGAAGAGGAGGATGTCAATGTCCTCCACCTGCTCACCATGAGCGGCTTCCGCGTCGAGGTGTGGGCAGGCACGGCGGATGGTGGGGGTGGGATGGCATGGAGGCGGGTGGAGAAATCGATGAGGTTCCACAAGGTACTGACGGTGGTGACCAATCCTTTATTCCAGTCATACCGCCGGAATGAGGTTGATGTCATCGGGGTGGCCGCTGGCCTTGTGTTCTTTCGGCAGTGGAATCATCTCTTCTCCATTTATCTTGAAACTATGAAGCTGAAGCAGTTGCCAAACGTGGAGCCCATGGGGGTGCTGACCTATCCTTACACAATCGCGTGGCCACCCTCTTTCTTGAATCCTGCTGGACAAGGCGGTTGATGTAGTGGGGAACTAGTCATTGTAGAGGCAATGGTGGAAAAGGAAGAATCTCGGTTGTTCTGATGAAGTCTTGGTGATGATCAGTTGCTATAGTTTGTGATTGTTAGAGCATCTTCCCTATACCTCTCCATATCCCCGTCAAACTGTCGAGACAGTTATGCTTTTTTCTTCCTCCAACGGTTCTCCAATGCCTCGCCTTTTTTTTTTGTCCACCAATATTTTCCTCACCTTTCCTCTAAGAAAGGGGGAGATACAATTCCTCTAATACCACGGGGACCATCCTAACTATCACTTTTCAACCATATTTTCTCTTACACTTACGAGGGACCTATCTTTTATACGGTTATTGGGGAGATATATTGGGGTACTGCTGTAGCAACTCCCCCAATAAAACTAGAAAGTGATATTGGGCTACCCTAATACCATCTTATTAGAAGAGTTATATTGGAGGACTGCTGGAGATGCTCTACTGGTTTCTCCAATGGCCTTGGCCCTTGACTCCTATATTCGCTTTTTTCTACTAGATCGGCACAATGTTGTCCGTACTCCCAACGGTGAAAGTATTGTGTTTGGATGTTGTGCTCTAGTTATGCTCCTCAGAAACTGCTTAGTCGTTGTATAACTCGAATTATTTTGTGCCAATTTCTAGGTCACTCCATATGGTTTGTCACTTTCGGTTGCTTCCACAATTGTCATGCGTGCATCCACAACAAGGACTGAGAATTGATGTATCTGATGGTGGTAGTGGTTTTTCACTCTGCCTGAAGCAATTTGATCTAGCTGAAGATTCCCACTGTTCTGTAGTGCCCCGTTCGCTTGTCTTAAATTTGGCTTGTTCGGTTTGTTTTTTCAGCCGGAACAGTGTTTTTCTCTCGCAACAATTCAGCCGGAACAGTGTTTTTCAGCCAGTTTCAGCCAAAGTTCAGACCAGCGAACGGGGGCATACTATCATGTATCTTGGACCCATCTTATGTTCGAGTATTGCATTGATGAATGTGAATATCTGTTCCAGGGGCTTAATTATCTAGGTTGATAGTATTGCCTTTTGTGTGAATGTGCTTTTTTTATTAGGTTATTATTTGGACAGTGATCCTGCAGCTGCAGCCAATCTTGTTCTGGAGTTAGCATTTTTGGATGCGGCACTAGATTTAAGCAACTCTATTTGCTATGGTTTTGTTAAACATGGCCATTCATACGTTCTGTACATTGTCTGGAAGGTTGCAAGTGTGGAGTTAGCATTTTTAGATGCAAACTTAGCTGATGCTCTGATGTTATGAATATCATACCGAAGCCATTAGCACTGGATTCAAGCAACTGCATTTGCTTGTTAAACATGATCATTCATACGTTATGTACATAGTCTGAAAGTTTGCAGATACAAAGCTGTGAAATCAGATTTGCATCACTATTCATTATCACTACAGAGGTCGACGCCATACAAGCTACCATGCGTGCGCTGCCATGATGCATGTCCACTTTCGCCTGCGTATCATCTTCTGAGATGATTGACTTAAGTCCTTAGGGCAGTGTACCCATTGTTGATGCAGCAAACCATAATGCATTTTGTACAAATTTCAGGCGACATATATGAATAAACAAACCCAAAACATAGTATATCAACTATACATATAGGATTACTCTGTTCTCTCCGTTCCAAATTATAAGATATTTTAGTTTTTCTAGATACATAAGTTTTGCTATACACTTAGATACTATGTCTAAATATATAGTAAAAACAATGTATATAGAAAAAAATACAATATCCTATAATTTGAAACAGATGAAGTATTAAACAAGGGCTAATTTATTTTTTTGAGAAAAGGTAATTGAATAATTATAAATAATATTTTATGTCAAAAATTGAAAATAATTCAAACTTGGTGAATAAGTGAATTATAACATCAAAACACTCACATGGAGACTAATTAGGAGAGCACTGGCCACTGGAGATCGTGCTGGTCGGTAGTCAACACATTGGTTAGCACTGCTACTTCACCCGAGTGGTGTGGTTTGCAAGCAGCCCACCACTCAATACATCATTTCTGCCCCCTGACTCCCTGGGTAGGATAGAGTGCAAGAGATTTTAGCTTCCCAGCTTCAACCATACACATCTGATGATCATTTCAAAAAAAAAAATACTGACAGCTATGTGGTAAATTTAGAAGGCTAGAATTGCCACAAAGGTTCAACAACAAAACTTGGTCCATATGGCAAATACACACTGCAGTAGCAGCGGATATGTGTACTACAAGTCTAATACAAAATGCAGATGACGAACAGATTCAAATGACAGCAACAATGGAGCTTGACCCCAAGCACAACAGGGATTGCCCTCCATCAACATCCAACTTATGTCTAGATATGTAGTAAAGCTATGGATGAAAACGGTACAGATATTTATTCGACCGTCTGTTCGACTGAACAAATATGAACACTTATCTGGATAGTTACTCGGATATCCGTAATTTTTTTCGGATACGGATACTAAAACGGATATCTTATGCGGATATCAAATACGGATGTAATATCATCGATATCCGGCGGATATCGGATAATCCGGTTAAGTATCGGATATATCCGGATATTTAAAAACGGATATTATCCGGATATTATTCAAACGACCTTGGATGGAGAAATGATCAAAATAAAAATTGTAGATCTCAAAAAGTTATTAAACTTTGTTGTTTATAACTTTTTCGTTTGAAATCATTTAGTGCTTCAAAATTTAAACCGTCCAAACTTTCTCAAATGGAAAACTAGTTTATAGGCGTTAAAATTTAAAAATCACAAATTTGAACCATCCAAACTACCTCAAATGGAAAGTTGACCAAAACATCAATTGTAGATCTTGATGAGTTGAACAAACTTGGTATTCAAAACTTTTCAATTTGAAGTCATTTAGAGTTCATAATACTAGAGTCAAAGTGTTGTTTTTTCATTTGACCAAATTTGACTTGGTCAAACTTGCTCAAATGAGACACTAAATGACCTCAGATGAAAAAACTCTGAATACCAAGTTTGATCATCTCAGCAAGATCTACAATTGTTACATAGCTCATTTTCCCATTTGAGAAAGTTTTATCAAACACTATTCACAAATTGTTGAATCTCATATAGACTTTCTGAAACTATGTCACACACTTGTGAAATTTGAACTATATTTTGTTCAAACTTTCTCAAATGAAAAAATGGCCTATATAAAGATTGTAGATCTTGATGAGATGAACAAATTTGGTATTCAAAACTTTTCAATTTGAGACAATCTAGGGTTCCGAAAACTAGTTTGTAAACGTTGAAATTTAAAAATCACAAATTTTAACCATCCAAACTATCTCAAATGGAAAGTTGACCAAAACAACAATTGTAGATCTTGATGAGTTGAACAAACTTGGTATTCAAAACTTTTCAATTTGAAGTCATTTAGAATTCATAATACTAGAGTCAAAGTGTTATTTTTTCATTTGACCAAATTTGACTTGGTCAAACTTGCTCAAATGAGACACTAAATGACCTCAGATGAAAAAACTCTGAATACCAAGTTTGATCATCTCAGCAAGATATACAATTGTTACATAGCTTATTTTCCCATTTGAGAAAGTTTTATCAAACACTAGTCACAAATTCTTGAATCTCATATAGACTTTCTGAAACTATATCACACACTTGTGAAATTTGAACTATATTTTGTTCAAACTTTCTCAAATGAAAAAACAGCCTATATAAGGATTGTATATCTTGATGAGCTGAACAAAGTTGGTATTCAAAACTTTTCAATTTGAGATAATCTAGGGTTCCGAAAACTAGTTTGTAAGCATCAAAATTTAAAAATCACAAATTTGAACCGTCCAAACTATCTCAAATGGAAAGTTGATCAAAACAAGAATTGTAGCTCTTAATGAGTTGAACAAACTTGGTATTCAAAACTTTTCAATTTGAAGTCATTTAGAGTTCATAATACTAGAGTCAAAGTGTTGTTTTTTCATTTGACCAAATTTGACTTGGTCAAACTTGCTCAAATGAGACACTAAATGACCTCAGATGAAAAAACTCTGAATACCAAGTTTGATCATCTCAGCAATATATACAATTGTTACATAGCTCATTTTCCCATTTGAGAAAGTTTTATCAAACACTAGTCATAAATTCTTGAATCTCATATAGACTTTCTAAAACTATGTCACACACTTGTAAAATTTGAACTACATTTTGTTCAAACTTTCTCAAATGAAAAAATGGCCTATATAAGGATTGTAGATCTTGAATCCATGACCATGACTCCATGAGACCCATGAAGCCATGAGCTTGGCTATTTCTACTCATGCCGCGAAGATTGGTGCTTGTATGATGTTTGATGTATGATGTATCTGTATCTTTATCTTATTTGTTGCTTTACTCTTTAGTCTTTCGGCTTAATCTAGATGGATTATGGACTCATAGAGTGGTGTAATGGTTTTGCATTTTATACGATATATATATATATATATATATATATATATATATATATATATATATATATATATATATATATATATATATATATATATATATATATATATATATATATATATATATATATATGCTTTTACTCAATATCCGAATAGATATTTGTATCCGACCTTCTCCGAATCCGATTCATACCGTATTCGATACTCATTATTCGTATCCGTAACCGAGTCAATCCGTATTCGTATATGTATCCGAACGCTATCCGTGTCCGAATCCGAATCCGAACAGAAATATGAAAACAAATATAATATGAGTGATATCCGTTCGTATCCGATCCGTTTTCATCCCTAAGTAAAGCTATATATCTGGAAAAAAAAACTAAAATGACTTTTAATTTGGAAGTATTTGGATGTCCAATAATGCCCTTCGTCTGCTTCTGAAGTTTCACCTTGTCCTTAATTGAGAGAGATCTTCCCTTTCATAACTTTGCCCTCTATGGCAATAGAGACTTTCTTCAGACTGTTTAGTAGCCGGGTCATTAAGATGTTAGAGAA